CGAAAAGGAGCACGGTGCAAGATCTGTCGAGCTCCTTCCAAAAAGAGGGGGCGTGACAATTTATCCTGTAACACAAATGAGGCACCACTGAGTTCACATATACTTCGCCCTACGGCCGCCAACGTATAGCGGAGTTGCTGCTCCAAGCTCGGGTCTGAGGTTCGAACTTCCAGGAAATTCCCCCCACTGTTACGGCCATTTCCCTCCACGTCCAGACAACGTACAAGAAACTTTTCGCCAGCGGGGGGAGGGAGGGGAATGGAGAGGTGTGGAAAGGAGAGAGAGGGAGGTGTGGGGAGGAGAGAGAGGGGGATGTGGAAGGGAGGAGGTGTGGAGAGGGGGGAGGCGTGGAGGGAGCGAGGTGGGTGGAGGAGAGACCGGTGTTTGGAAGAGAGGGAGGCGTGAGCGAGGGAGGTGTGAGCAAGGGAGGCGTGAGCGAGGGAGGTATGAGCGAGGGAGGTATGAGCGAGGAAGGTGTGAGGGGAAGACGACGGCGACCTTGTAGCCCGGCTCGGCCGTTGCCTCTTGGACGAGCGCAAACAGCTCGGGCGCCTGCCAGGGGAGATATGGGGAGGTATGGGGAGGTATGGGGAGATATGGGGAGATATGGGGAGATGTGGGGAGATGTGGGGAGATGTGGGGAGATATGGGCAGATGCGGGGAGATATGGGGAGATATGGGGAGATGTGGGGAGATGTGGGGAGATGTGGGGAGATGCGGGGAGATATGGGGAGATATGGGGAGATATGGGGAGATGTGGGGAGATGCGGGGAGATATGGGGAGATGCGGGAAGATATGGGGAGATATGGGGAGATATGGGGAGATGCGGGGAGATATGGGGAGATGCGGGGAGATGCGGGGAGATATGCACCTGCCCGCCGAGCGACGTCACGGTGGAGGCTTGCTCGACCTGCGGACATGTCTCGGACATGTCGCGGACATGTCGTGGACGTGTCGTGGACATGTCGTGGACGTGTCGCGGACGTGTCGTGGACATGTCGTGGACGTGTCGTGGGCGCTTGCCCGACCTGCGCGTTTGTGTTTGTCTCCTCGCCGACCGTGTCGACGAGCTTGGTGCGGTCTGGGCCTCGCGTCGCGATCTGCGCCACGGAGAGCGGGTGGTCTCGGGTGATCTCGGGTGATCTCGGGTGACCTCGGGTGATCTCGGGTGATCTCGGGTGATCTCGGGTGATCTCGGGTGATCTCGGGTGATCTCGGGTGATCTCGGGTGATCTCGGGCGATCTCGGGCGATCTCGGGTGATCTCGGGTGACCTCGGGTGATCTCGGGTGATCTCGGGTGATCTCGGGTGACCTCGGGTGATCTCGGGTGACCTCGGGTGATCTCGGGTGACCTCGGGTGATCTCGGGTGACCTCGGGTGATCTCGCGTGATCTCGGGTGATCTCGGGTGACCTCGGGTGATCTCGGGTGCTCTCGGGTACTCTCGGGTCATTCTCCGAAGTTCAGATCGCCTGCGCCACGGATAGGACGTCCTTGGGCAGCGTCGCGGAGAAGAGCAGCGTCATCCGCCGCTGCGACGAGAGGCGGCGGGGGGGCGGAGGTGGGTGGAGAGGAGGCGGGGAGAGGAGGCGGGGAGAGGAGGCGGCGAGAGGAGGCGGGGAGAGGAGGCGGGGAGAGGAGGCGGGGAGAGGAGGCGGGGAGAGGAGGCGGGGAGAGGAGGCGGGGAGAGGCGGCGGGGACAAGAGGGAGCCAGAGCGGTGAGGAGAGCAGCAGCGGCGGTGTGATGGCGGCGCGCGCCTCCCGCGACGGCGCCAGCGCCTGGAGAATCTTTTGGATGTCGGGCCGGAAGCCCATTTCGAGCAGCTGGTCCGCCTGCGCGTGAGAGAGAGACTCGAAGATGAGCGGCGATCTCTCGGCTGCCTCTCGGCGATCTCTCGGCTGCCTCTCGGCTGCCTCTCGGCTGCCTCTCGGCTGCCTCTCGGCTGCCTCTCGGCTGCCTCTCGGCTGCCTCTCGGCTGCCTCTCGGCTGCCTCTCGGCTGCCTCTCGGCTGCCTCTCGGCTGCCTCTCGGCTGCCTCTCGGCTGCCTCTCGGCTCTATCTCTCGAGCAGCTCGTCTTCCTCGTCGAAGATGAGCGCCATCAGCCCGGCGCACGACTGGTCGAGAAATAGCCGAGGTATGGCCGAGGCACAGCCGAGACATAGCACCGAGGTGTGGCCGAGGTACAGCCGAGGTGTGGCCGAGGTGTGGCCGAGGTATGGCCGAGGTATGGCCGAGGTATGGCCGAGGTATGGCCGAGGTATGGCCGAGGTATGGCCGAGGTATGGCCGAGGTACAGCCGAGGTACAGCCGAGGTACAGCTGAGGTACAGCCGAGGTACAGCCGAGGTACAGCCGAGGTACAGCCGAGGTAGCGGCCTGGTCGGCGCCGTAGTTGTACAGCAGGTCGTTGAGCCGGCCGGGCGTGGCGACGAGCAGCGAGGGCGGCTTGGTCTGGAGAAGGGGGAGAGGCGGCGGCGGTGAGGAGGAGGTTGGAAGAGGCGGCAAGGTGAGGAGGGAAGAGGTTGGGAGAGGCGGCGGCGGTGAGGAGAGGGAGAAGCAGCGGCGAGGGGAGAGAGGGAGGCAGCAGAGGTGAGCAGGAGAGAAAGAGAGAGAGAGAGGGAGGCAGCAGCGGCGAGAGAGGGGTGCGGCAGCGGCGAGGAGAGAGGAGGTGTGCGTCAGCGGCGAGGAACGGGGAGAGGCAGCAGCGGCGAGGAGAGAGGTGTGCGGCAGCGGCGAGCGGGTGCGCGGCTCGCGCCTGCAGCATCCGGACGTCGGACTTGATATTTGTGCCTCCGACGACGACGGCGGTGGTGAGGGCGGGCTTGTGGAAGGTGATGAGCTGCTCCGCCTCGTCGCGGATCTGCGACGCCAGCTCGCGCGTCGGAGAGATGGCGAGCGCACGCACGCCGCCGCCGGTGGCGGGCTTCAGCAGCACTTCGATCGTCGGGAGCAGAAAGGCGATGGTCTTTCCGGTGCCGGTCTTGGCCTTGGCGATGACGTCGAAGCCGGAGAGGATGACGGGCAGCGTCTGCGCCTGCACCACCGACATCACCTCGTAGCACAGCACCTCGGCGATCGCCTTCTTGGTCAGCGGGTGGATGTCGAGCGACGCAAACGAGTTGCCGGTCAGGTGGGCGCGCGTCGTGCTCGAGGTGCGCGAGTTTGGGTTGGCCTTGGCGGCTGCCGGCCCGGCCGCCGGCGGAGCGGGGAGTGCCGAGATGGTGTCTCCGTTTGCCTCCGCGGGAGCGGCTCCGTTGGCGCCGCCGTGGCCGTGGCCGTTGCCGCCGCCGCTGGCGCCGCCATTGGCGCCGCCATTGGCGCCGCCATTGGCGCCGCCACCCCTGTTGCGGCCACGGCCGCCGCGCGGGCGGCGACGAGGGCCGCCTTCGCCCTTGCCGCCTCCGCCGCCGCCGCTGTCCATGTCTCGAGCGAGGAGTACGAGTCCTGTGGACCGAAATAAAAGAATTTTAAAGACTGACTCGGACTGGCACTACAAATGGCACAGCAGGCGACGGCCCCTTACGGGTCGTCAAAGAGGCCGGCGTACTCCTCCGGCCGCTCCTCCCCCTCCCAATCCTCCCCGGGCTCTGGCTCCTCCTCCTTCGCCCGCGCCCTCGCCCCCGCCGGCGGCGGTTCCGTGCGGCCGTCGCCCCCGCCCCCTCCCCGCCCCCATCACGGCCGGAGCCGTACCACCCCGCGCGCACGAGGAACGAGGACTGAGCCTCAACCTCGTCCACCCTCACCGCCCTCACGGCGGCGTCGCACGCCTCAGCCCGCGAAGCGCCAGCAGCATGCGCCGCGGCGTACGCCGCGTCGCCTACCGCCTGCCTCGCGAGAGACGCGGCGCGCCACTCGTCCTCCAGAGCCGCCGAGCCCCACGCAGGGTCTCCCGCAAGCAAGCCCTCCTCCCCCCCGTCCGAGTCGCCATCCGAGCTCAACTCGCCCTCGCCCTCGCCCTCGCCTCGCGCCTCGCCGCTCCCATCCTGCGGCTGCGCCACGCCCCGCGCCTCGCAGCAGCCCCATCCTTGGCAGAGCCCGCCGCACATGCTATGCGCGACGTATGCCTGGCGCAGGCCAGGCACCTCCCACCCATCGTCAGTGGTGGCGAGATAGGGCGCCGCGCAGCGGCCTGTCGAGTTAGCCCACCGCCACGCGCCCGCCCTTCGCGCGGCGGAACAAATGCTGGGGGCAGCTAGAGCTCCCCCAGAGGAGCACTGTTACTAGAGCTACTGCCCCCCAGAGGAGCTGAACAATGTTGCTAGTGTTAACAGTAACAACAGAACAACAGTGGGATCCGCCAACCGCGACAATAGTCAACGTTAGGCCGGCAAACAACAATACCAAAGAGTTAGGGAGCGCGAACAACACTCGCGCCTGCCCCAGCCACTGGCCAGACACGCTCTCAGCGCGTCTGTGTTGTCCGCGCGCGTAGATAGACAGATAGACAGCGTCACAGCTGATCGTAGCTAAAACAAAAATCCGCTTCTCTACCTCGCATTCCTATTGCAACACCCTCGCCGGCGGGTTGGACTCGCGCAGCAGCGCCGAATAGCACAGCCACCGCACGGCGCAGCTCTCACCTTCTGGCTGCGCCGGCAGCTCGAAGCCGCGCTCTTGCGCCCACAAGCGGAGATGCCCTCCGCCTCCCCCGCGAGCGAGGCGTGGAAGAGCAGCGAGACATTGAGCTGCGCACTTCGGAATAGAATTCTTTTTCTCCCGATGTCTTTCCCACGGCGCCGCTCGAGGCGCCTCGCCGCCGCCGCCGCCGCCGCGCACTGCCCCCTCCTCGACCTCCCCACGGACCTCCTCCTGCGCGTCCTCTCTCGCTGCGACCCCGCCGACATCGCTCGCGTCGCGGCCGTCTCGCTGCTCTTTCACGCCTCACTTGCGCTGGAGGGCATCCGCTTGTGGGCGCAAGAGCGCGGCTTCGAGCTGCCGGCGCAGCCAGAGGGCGAGAGCTGCGCCGTACGGTGGCTGTGCTTTTCGGCGCTGCTGTGCGAGCACAACCCGCCGGCGCGGGCGGCGGCAGGCCAGTGGCACAGCCTCTTCATCGACGGGGAGGGGCGGCTCTCGTCGTGCGGTTCGGCAGCAGAGGACGAGGAGGACGAGGAGGAGGAGGGTGTTTCAGGCCTCCTTGGCCACGGCGAGGGCGTGACGCGGCTCAACACGCCGACCCGCCTCCCGTCGACGCTGGGCGGGGAGCGCGCCGTGAGTGTGTCGGTGGGAGACTTCCACAGCCTTGCCCTCACTGCCGGCGGAGCTGTCTGGAGCTGGGGCTGTGCGTTCGAAGGCAGGTTGGGCCACGGCGACCAGCAGATCCAGCTGCTGCCGAAGAAGGTCGAGGCCTTTGCTAGTCAGTGCGTCGTCGCTGTCTCGGCTGGATACGCACACAGCCTCACCATCACCTCCGACGGCGCTGCCTGGAGCTGGGGCTTTGGAGCGCAAGGCAGGTTGGGCCACGGCGACGAGCAGAACCAGCTACTGCCGAAGAAGGTCGAGGCGTTTGCAGGGCTGCACGTCGCCGCTGTGTCGGCTGGAGGCAGCCACAGCCTCGCCATCACCGCCGACGGCGCTGCCTGGAGCTGGGGCGATGGAAGCTACGGCAAGTTGGGCCACGGCGACGAGCAGAACGTGCAGCTGCTGCCGAAGAAGGTCGAGGCCTTTGCTGGGCGGAGTGTCATCGCCGTGTCGGCTGGATACTCCCACAGCCTCGCCCTCACCGCCAATGGCACTGTCTGGAGCTGGGGCTCTGGAGACTACGGCGAGCTGGGCCACGGCGACTGGCAGAACCAGCTGCTACCCAAGAAGGTCGAGGCGTTGGCGGGGCAGCGCGTCGTCGCTGTGTCGGCTGGAGATTACCACAGCCTCGCCCTCATCGCCGACGGCGGCGTCTGGAGCTGGGGCACTGGAGACTTTGGCAAGCTAGGCCACGGCGACCGACAGCGGCAGCTGCTGCCCAAGAAGCTCGAGGCCTTTGCTGATCAGCGTGTCGTCGCTGTCTCGGCTGGAGAGCACCACAGCCTCGCCCGCACCGCTGATGGCGCCGTCTTCACGTGGGGCAAGGGCGAGCCCGGCTGCCTAGGCCACGGAGAGGACCTGTCGGACCAGCTGCTGCCCAAGAAGATCGAGGCGTGGGGTCCGGGGAAGTGATTTGCGAGAAGGGCGAAAGGGGTGATGTATGATACGGCTCTACAATACAGATAGTGGTTTTTGGGGGGTTTGCAAAGAGGACATTTGCAAAGGGAACGCAGCGTTTTCTTTCTTTACTGTTGAAACAATGAAAGCAGGCGGAACGGCGCGTACTGCGTAAGCGCTTGGTGAGCTGGTTCGGGCAGCCCCATACGCTCCAACATCGCCGTCAGCCCCGACGGCGGCGCGCTGGTTGTGGCAGGTGGCAACAAGCTCCGACTGGTGGAGGTGGACACTGGTGAGTTGACATCGCTCGCGGGCAGCGGCGAGGCTGGCGACGCCGATGGCGTGCGCGGCGCGGCGCAGTTCCACAACCCAACCGGCGTCGCCATCAGCCCGGACGGTAGCGCGCTGTTCGTAGCGGACAATCGGAGCCACAAGATCCGGCGGGTGGAGGTGGCGACGGGCGCTGTCGCCACGCTCGCGGGCAGCGGCGACGCAGACGACGCGGACGGCGTGGGCGATGCGGCGCACTTCAGCTACCCATCTGCCGTCGCCATCAGCCCAGACGGCGGCGCGCTGTTTGTGACGGACAGCGGCAACCACAAGATCCGGCGGGTTGAGGTGGCGACGGGCTCGGTGACGACAGTCGCGGGCAATGGCGACGAAGGCGACGCGGATGGCGTGGGCGATGCGGCGCACTTCTGCAACCCGATTGGAATCGCCATCAGCCTGGACGGCAGCGCTCTGTTTGTAGCCGACAATGAGAACCACAAGATCCGGCGGGTTGAGGTGGCGACGGGCGCTGTGACGACGCTCGCGGGCAGCGGCGAGGGTGGCAACGCTGATGGCGTGGGCGATGCGGCGACCTTCGATCAACCAGTCGAGGTCGCCATCAGCGCCGACGGCAGCACTCTCTTGGTCAGCTCAGTCGGTGACCTCCGCCAGGTCTGCGTGATGGCGTCTCCTTCGCCTCCCTCCTTCGCCCCCAGCGTGGTGCCGCCCTCCACCATCCTGGCTGACTTTGCAAAGACGCGCGGTGACGCGACCCTGCCCACCGGCCTGGTCATTCCTGGTCGGCGACGACCGGGAGCGCCTCGAGCACGTCAGCAAGTCCCTGCTCTGCGCCCGGTCCGTGTTCTTTCGGACCATGTTCGGCATCGGCATGAAGGAGCGCGACACCGCCGAGGTCACGGTGCCCCACACCGACCTCGCCAGCTTCACCGCCCTAGTCCGCTACCTCCTCACCGACCAGCTCGACCTCGGCGAGGAGGAGGGCAGGGCGCAGCGCGCGCTCGACCTGCGGGAGCTGGCGCAGATGTATCAGGTGCCGCGCCTCGAGCTGCTCTGCGCGCAGGCGCTGCAGGAGAGCGTCGGGCCGGCGACCGCCGTGCCGCTGCTCGAGGCGGCGCACACGATGGGCGACGGGCGGCTCCTCGCGCAGTGCCGCCGCTACGTGGCCGACCACGCCGCCGAGGTGCGCGCGAGCGGCGGCGTGCTGCGCGACTTTGGCGTGGCCAAGGGGCTGCTCGGCGACGCGCTCGACCAGGTGGCGGAGCTCAAGGAGACGGTGGCGGAGCTCAAGGGGGCGGTGGCGACGCGCGAGGCGGAGATTTGCGTGAATGCCGCCGTTGAGCCCTTGAGACGCTTGACCCTTGACGGATGCGCCGGGCCCGGGCGGGGCTGGGAAGCTAGCTCTCATGTCACATATGTGATAGTTTTGTCATATGTGTGCGGCACCTGAGGTGTCATACATCAGCACATACGACACCTCGCAGCCACATGTAAAATAATACGATTACGGACTCACATCGTGTTTTGCGGCACTTCTAAGGAGCCGCGGGACTGGCTAGACCGCGAAACAGCAGCGCAAACCGCCGCGCGAGCGTTCTGACTCCTGTGCTCACCCTCACCCTCCACGTCTATCTCGCTACCCGACACACACGCGCAAACTCTCATACCTCCTCCCTCTCGCGGGCTGCACACTCCACAAGAGCTGCACAGCAGCCTGCAAGCGTTGGAAAGGGGGAAGGGGACTCAACCTACAGCGCCTCCTCCTCCGAAGCATCACCGCCCCCTCCACGCTTCTTGCCGCCGCCGCCGCCGCCTCGCTTCTTGCCGCCGCGCCCGCCCCCCTTGCCTCCTCCGCCGCCGCCGCCGCCACCACCGCCTCCGCCGCCCCCTCCTCCACCGCCGCCGCCGCCCTCATCCTCGTCACCGTCGCCCCCCTCGTCCTCTTCGTCGCTCGGCGTAGGTGGCGCCACCGCCGTCGCCGGAGGCGCCGCCGCGCCCGCCGCCGCCGCGCCCGCCGCCGCCGCAGCGCCGACAGGCTGGCTGTCGGCCGGGGCGGCGGAGGTTGGCAGAGGAGTCGAGGACTCGTTGCGCGTGCCGTTGCCGCCGCCGCGCTTCCCGCCGCGTTTTCCGCCGCGTTTTCCCTGACGGCGGCGAGCGCGGCGCGCCTGTGAGAAGGGCGCCCCGCGCCTGTCACGCCGGGCAGCTCTCGGGGCATCTCTCGGGGCAGCTCTCGGGGCATCTCGGGGCATCTCGGGGCATCTCGGGGCATCTCGGGGCATCTCGCGCGGCATCTCGGGCGCACGATGGCGGTGGGACGCGGGGGCGGGGATGTGTGTGCGTGAGTGGGGGGCGGGAGATGCCGGGGGGGGGGGGGGGGGGGCAAGGCCACTCATTTTGGGCACCTCCGCCGAGTCCTCTCCAGCCCCCCCCGGGTCGTCCCCCTCCCCCCAATTGGGAACAACCCCCCCCCCCAAAGAGGGGGAGGAGGCGGCAGCGGCCGGCGGCACCTCGGCCCGCGCCGCCTCCTGCGCCGGCGCCGCCGCAGCGGCCGGAGGCGTCTCCGCCACCGGCGCCGCTCCGGCAGGCGCCGCTTTGGCAGGCGCCGCGCCCTCCGCCGCCGCGTCGTCCGGCGGAAGCGCCTCCTCGTCCGCCGCAACGTTCGCGTTTTTGCCCGCCCGGCCGCCCCCCTTGCCGCGCCCGCCGCCCTTGCCGCGCCCTCCCCCTCTCCCTCCTCCGCCCCCCGCTCCGCCCTCCTTGCCGCCGCCCTCTCCGGCCGCCTCCTGCGAGGAAGACACCGCCTCTGCCGGCGGCGGCGGCGAGGCCAGCGGCGGCGGCGGCGAGGCCAGCGGCGGCGGCGGCGAGGCCAGCGCCGCCGCCGCCGGCGGCGGCGACGGCGGCGGCGGTGTGCTGTCGGCGGGAACCGTGGCCGCCGTTGCGATCGTTGCGGCGGGGGGAGGCGGCGGCGGGGTGCCCGCCGGCACCGGCACCGCCACGCGAAGCTGCTGGCCGGCCGAAACGCCGGCAGGGACTCTGATCTGGAGCTGCCCTCCGAAGGGCGAGTTGATGACCTGCGTGGGTGAAGGCGGCGACGTGAGGGCGGGAAGACGGTACTGTGCGGCGTACTCAGAGCACGTGGCGTGAGTGCAACGGAGAGGAAGACAGTGAGTACGGCCGAATACGTGTGAGTACAGCGGAGTACGTGTCCTCTCGAGCGCTGGTTGGGGATACACGAACACGTCTTCCGCTTCTAGGAGTTGGTGACGATGGCTTGGCCCGCGGTCACGCCGGGCGGGATGGTGACGAGGAGATCTCGCGTTGTGGCCGCGGCGGCCGCGGGCGGCGGCGGCGACAACGAGGGCGAGGGCGAGGGCGAGGGCGAGGGTGGGGGCAAGGGTGAGGGCGAGGGCGAGGGGGAAGGCGAGGGGGAGGGCGAGGGCGGGGGCGGGGGCGGGACTGGCGGCGGCGGGGAAGCGACCACCGCTGCCGTCGCTTCCGCTGTCGCCACCGCCGGCACCGCCCCAGCCGTCGCCACCACGGGCTCCCCCGCCGCCACCGCCCCCGTTGCCGCCACCGGCCCCACTTCCGCGGCAGCAGATGCCGCCACCGCCGCCACCGCCACCGGCCCCGCCGTCACCGGCTCGGAGGTGGCGACCGCGGCGGCGGGCACCGACGCGGCGGGCACCGACGCGGCGGTCGCCGACACCGCAACAGCCGAGGCGCAGCCGGGCGCGGGACTGCTCCGGATTGTCCACACGTTCCCGTCCGCCCACTTGATGGCGCTGCCGTTCCAGCTGCCGGTGAGCGCGGCGGGGCCGCCCTTGGCCGAGAAGTTCGCCTCGATCTCCTTGCCAGTCACGAGCGCGCGGACCGCCCAGGCTGCACCGCTCGTCCCGTCGGAACCCGTGATGTTTGCTGCGCCGCCCGCACCGGCCTCCGCAATGGCGCGAGGGCAGCCAGGATGCCTCGGGTCGTCAAAGAGGCCAAAGGGGGCCTCGTGCCGCTTCGCCAGCGCCTTCTTCAGCTCCGCCTGCAGCACCGACTTTGTGAGCTTGCCGTCCGGCGCGAGCGCGTCAAACTGGTCCAAGACCGCCTGCAGGACGTGCTGCGGCAGGTGGGGCACCGACGACGTCTCCTTCGGCGGCCCCTTGCTCGACTCCTTGCTGCTCTTCCCGCCGCTCTTGTGGACGCCGGACGAAACGGCGGCCAGGCAGAGGGCGAGGAGCATCGACGTGCACGGCGGGCCTGGCTGCGCCACCACAGAACTTTGTGGCGGCGAAGTTTTTTCTTTTCGCCACAATTGGCCAAAGGTTACAAATGTTATGTCCGCTCGCGCGAACTCGTCGGGCCACAGGCTACCGAGCGCCTCGTGTTGACCCCAGCCATCCGCAAGGACAACACGACTGGCTACAAGAAGTGTGACCTTCTACCGCCCAGCAGCAAGAAGTTCAAGGCGCAGGTGAGGGATGGCGGGAAGATGGTCCACCTCGGCTACTTCGACACCGCCGAAGAGGCGGCCACCGCCTACGCTCGCTCAGAGTGCGGCCGCGCCGACGCCGCCAAGCTACTGCAGCCTCACCCGGCTCCCACTGCCGCTGGCCTCGAGGCGATACGGCAAGCGGAGAGGGAGGGCCTCACCCTGGTCACCAGCGGCAGCACCAGCACCAGCTACAAAGGCGTGACCTTCTACCCGAAGGAGCGAGGAAGCAAGAAGTACAAGCTGCAGGTTACGGTTGGCGGCAAGCGTGTCTTCCTCGGCCTCTTCGCCACCGCCGAGGAGGCGGCGCTCTTCTACGCCCGCAGGGAGGCGGGCAGGGACACCAGCGATCTCACCGCGCCGCCGCCGCCGCCGCCGCCACCCGTGCCTTCCTCTGCTGCTGGCGCCGAGGCAGTCAGCCAGGCGGGGAGGGAGGGCCTGAGTCTGGCTACGAGCGGCAGCAACAGCGGCTACAAAGGCGTGACCTTCTGCCCGAAGCAGAAAGGCAGCAAGAAGTACCAGCTGTCGGTGTGGGTTGGCGGCAGGCAAGTCTTCCTCGGCATGTTCGCCACCGCCGAGGAGGCGGCGCTGGCACGTGCGCGGCACCTGTGGGACACGACCGTCCGCCTGCTCGAGCCGCAGCCGCGGAGCAAGCACCGCCGCAAGGCGCAGCAGGGCCGTCCGAGGCCAGCAGCGTCGAGGAGGAGGACGGCTTCGACCCAGCGGACATTGCCGACGCCGTGGCTAACTCGCTGCTCCCCGACCCGCCTTCCGCGAGCGAGCAGAGGGCGGCGAGGCGGCAGGCGCGCGCAGCACGCAGAGCAGGCGGTGAGGGCGGGGGCGGCGGCGATTTGTGTTGCCCCGCCGTGCGACGACGAGGTGAAGGCGGAGGTGGAGAGCTATAGCGAGGAGGAGTCGGAGATGGAGGTGGAGGCGGCTACCGCAGCAAGGGCGGCACCGGCTGCAGCTGAACATACCGAGTGCGTCATTTGCTTGGATGACCTGAGCGCACACCCTCTTTCGCCTTTCGGCGCAACTCCGCCCTCCTCGCGGCATATTTTGGCCCCTCGAGTTTATCGAGCTCTCCTCGCGCAAGGACGACTCTTCTGACGCCCACTGCGATCATTTGCCGCCAAGTCATATCGTTGCTCAGGTCCACTCTCTCTTCGAACACTTGTGCCTCCACGGATGATGCTGGCGCTGGGGTCCCCTTCGGGTGCATCGTGACAGCTGACGACGGGATTACCACAGGTGCTTAGGGTACCTCCTCTTGGAAAAGTTATTTAGGATCACCCCCCTACCGCCGCCCAGTACGTGCTCCGCAGCTGAGCCCACGCACCCCACAGTAGCTCAGGGACACAATGAGCTCGCATACAAGTGCTGGTACGCACAGCTCGACGCGTACTCGAATGCTGCCACTGTCATTCTAGCCGGCGAGCGGCGGCGTCACAGCGTCGACTCTCGCATCGCGATGAGACGGACTGCTTGCCCAGACGCGCGCCTTGGCGCGCTCCTGTGGTGCAGGAGGAAGGTCAGCGGTCGTGCTGCGCAGGCCCGGCCGTCTGGCTGGAGGGAGCAGCAGCTGGCGCTCAACAGCAGCGCTGTCGAGCAGCGCAGCACACCACACTCCCGCCAAGCCACGTGTCATTTCCCGCCAAGATTTGGCGCCAAAATGGCACTTTAGTGTCCACCTAGCCACGTGGTCGCGGCCTGAAGCTCCAAGCTTCTGGGACTGAGGTCCCACATCGCTGGACTCCATTTGTGTGCAGGCGGCACCCTTCCGATCGTTCGCCGATGTCCGAAACCGGGGTCGTACTAAATAACTTTTCCAAGAGGAGGTACCCCTGTAGGGTTCTGAGGGCCGGACTTTTAAGACCTTTTAAGAAATGAGGAGATTGGGGGGCTGAAATTGCCATTTAAGAGATTGCAGGCACGGGGGGTCCCTCTTTTAAGACCGTTTAAGAAAATCGGCCTCACCGGCCATGGCCCATGCGTCGCTGGGTTCCGCGCCGTTTTCTCCAATACCACCGTTATTAGGCACAAAACCGCCTCTGAAGACACATCTGTAAGCCATACTCGCAGAGGGGGCGCGTGCTAGCTGACTGTAGCCAGCTTCCCGGCCTCCGGCGTCTACCGGGAGCCTCCCGGACCATCGATCTCGGGAGCTCTCCCGCACCGTTTAACCCTTTTTTGCTTCATAAGGTTCCTGGAGAACAAATCTCGATAGATCTCCAGTCGTAGCGGTGGAACTTTAAAACGGCTCGGTAAATATTTAGCCATGTATGAGAGGATTACGCCACAGTGTCGTTTGAGTCGACAGTAAATCTCCCACAGCCCACGTAAATCCGTCTTTTTCAGGCACCCGGAGCCCTCCGCGGCCGCTTCTACGCCGGCGAAGCACCATCAAGCTGCTGTACGGCCCCCGCATCGCCTCCCCTGGCTTAGCTCTCAGTCAAGATATTGAGCACCTGGGTGGTCTCTACAATATACTCACTGACACTGAACCTCCCAGAGCTCGTCCCGGTCCGTCACGGCCATCCTCGTCCTCCGGCGGGCCCCCCGCCGGCCGCGGCGCGGTGCGGCGGCGTCACAAATCCGACCACAGAGCACCGGGACGCGGTCGGGCGATCTGAGGCCCAAGTAGGCGAATGCATTGCCCATCCAGGGCTATCACCTGGACCTATCAACAGGCGCCTGCGGCGCCGTGCTCAGGAGTTGGTTTTCACTCGCTCGAAATGTGTACGTAAAAGGGTTAAGCGTTTAAGACCGTTTAAGGATTCGGCGGCCCAGCAGCTCTTAAAACCTGCCTAGGCAGGTTTAAGCCGTTTAAGCCGCAGGCGCCCCAGGGCCCACCCTTTTAAGCCTAGGGGTACCCTAAGCACAGGTGTTTCGTCCTCCTCGGGGTCGTCTTCCCCGGCTTCCTTGCGTTCGGCGTGGCTCACCCTCCATGCCGTGAACAGGCGCTTTATCCACCCTATATTCTTCTCTCGTTCCTCTGCCCGTGCCTTGGTCTTGTCGTTGTTTCGCACCCATGTCTGTATGGCAATCGAGGCTGCCTTCCGCTTGAGCACTTGAGCACTTGATAGGGTCGATTCCGCATGGTACGGGACCCCTCGATCGTCTCGCCCTCCCTCACTGGTGTGGTCATTGGGGGGGGTCATAACAAACACGGTACAGGATCGAGGTGCACGCTGCTGAAGGTGAAGCAGTATGTCCCCCCTCTCCCCGACGGCGATGGCGGTGTGACCGATCGAGCTACAAGAGGAGCTTGTTCAGCAGGAAAGGCTTCCCCACTACCTGTAGTTCACTCGTCCTCCTTGTGGAGGGTGAAGGCGAGGAAGTGGGCCACCGCGTGGCGGGCCGAATCGTGCAGGAGGATCTGCACGCAGCGTGACCGTCGCCGCCGGAACCGTCAAGTTTACAACTTCACAGCCGTGGCATTGAGAAGAAGAAAACACCTCCTTCACACAAACTTCACCACTCGGCACAGGGCACCGGCTCGGCAACACGGGCATGAGTGAGTGGCAGCGCCCCGCGCCCTGCGATCGCTCGCCGTTTGGCACTGTAGTGAGAGCAGCGTGCGGGGTGTGGCAGCGCAGCGCGCGCCGTGTACCAATTGATTGATTGATGGGAAGGCGAAACACAGTCCGACCAACGACTGGGACACCAACGCGGTATGGGTGGACGCTAGACGGGCGATGACGGTCACACAGGAGCGACACACAGAACCACAAGACAAGACACTCAGCCAACAGGGCGGCTGCCACACATCCTGAGCGAACTTCCCTAGTCACCCGCGGCCGGACTCCATCCGGCACGCGTCGCTGGGCGCTCAGAGCCGCGTCCCCTGCTCGCCACCCCGACGCCCAAGGCGCCCGAGCGAACGACAGGCGGCACGCGAAGACTGGTTGCAATCCCGCCGACCGCCAGGCCGCGGGATGATGCGTGCGTGGTCATGTAGTGGGTCTCGGAAGCTCCCCTCTCGGGCTAGGAGCCAGCCCCTCTCCCTTGCCCTCGGAACACTGTGTCCAAGTCGAGGCGTGTGCTTGCCGGTCGACGGCCGCGCGCGGTTGGCATTGTGACGAAGGTTGCGCGCGGCCGCGGCGCGCCCGCCATGGTTCGGCGCGGCGCGCCTACCAGCGGCAGTTGTCGAGGCACGGGAACGCTTACCCGGGGTCATCCTCTGAGCCTGGTCGTCGGCGCCGCGATGCCACGGCGGCGCATTCGACGTCGTCGGCGCGCTGCCCCGCGGTGAGCCCCGCCGCACGTGGCGACGGCCGCAGGTTGGCCCGGTGCAGCGCGCCCTGGCCGCAGTACCGCTTCGCGACGCCGTTGATTGCGCATACCCCACAAGCCCTGTCCCGAATCCACTCTGTGGCATGGCATCCACCGCCGGCAAGCGCGCCCGCACCGGCGGCGGCGGCGAGGAGGAGGACGATGAGCCCGTGCCGGTCGCGGATGGCTTCGAGGCGCCCATCTTTGGCGCGCGCGTCCTCGGCCAGGTCACCACGCTGACGCTCGAGGGTGAGGACGGCCCTCTGGCATCCCTCAGTCGCGTTGGCGTCGCGAGCGAGCACGCGGGCGCCTGGTACGTCGCGACGAAGGACTCGCTGCTGCACGTATCGGCGGCCGGGCGCGTGCGCCATGTGGCAGCCTTGCCGGCAAGTGTCGAATACTACACCGTTGCCGCCAGCCCGGACGGGAGCGCAGCGTTTGTGGCCGACCATGAGAACCACAAGATCCGGCGGGTGGAGGTTGCGACGGGCGAGGTGACCACGCTTGCAGGAAGCGGCGACGAGGGCGACGCGGATGGCGTGGGTGTCGCGGCGCAGTTCTGCTGCCCAGCTGGCATCACCATCAGCCCAGGCGGCAGCGCGCTGTTCGTGGCGGACTATAACAACAACAAAATCCGGCGGGTTGCGGTGGCGACTGGCGAGGTGACGACGATCGCGGGCAGCGGCACCACGGGCAGCGCCGATGGCGTGGGCGACGCGGCGGGGTTCTGCGGCCCAGCCGGCATTGCCATCAGCCCAGACGGCGGCGCGCTGTTTGTGGTGGACCAAGGCAGCGACAAGATCCGGCAGGTTGAGGTGGCGACGGGCGCGGTGACCACGCTCGCGGGCAGCGGCGCCTCTGGCGACGCGGATGGCGTGGGCGACGCGGCGCAGTTCTACAACCCATGTGGCCTTGCCATCAGCCCAGACAGCAGCGCGCTGTTTGTGGCGGACGGCAGCAGCCACAAGATCCGGCGGATGGAGGTGGCGACTGGAGAGGTGACGACGGTCGCGGGCAGTGGCACCATGGGCAGCGCCGATGGCGTGGGCAACGCGGCGGAGTTCGTAGGCCCAACTGAAGTCGCCCTCAGCCCGGACGGCAGCACGCTGTTGGTCGGTTCGGAAGGAGGCCTCCGCCATGTCTGCCTGGCGGCGCCTCCTCCTCCTCCCTCCTTTGCCCCGATCGTCGTTCCGCCCTCCACCTTCTCCGCCGACATGGCGAAGACGTGGGGCGACGCCTCCCTCCCAGAGGGGAAAGTCACCTTCCTGGTCGGCGACGACGAGGAGCGCATCGAGTACGTCACCAAGGCCAACCTCTGCGCCCGGTCCCCGGTCTTTCGGACCATGTTTGGCATCGGCATGAAGGAGCGCGACGCCGCCGAGGTCACGGTGCCCCACACCGACCTCGCCAGCTTCACCGCCCTAGTCCGCTACCTCCTCACCGACCAGTTCGACCTCGGCGAAGAGGAGGGCAGGGCGCAGCGCGCGCTCGACCTGCGGCAGCTGGCACAGATGTACCAGGTGCCGCGCCTCGAGCTGCTCTGCGCGCAGGCGCTGCAGGAGAGCGTCGCGCCGGCGACCGCCGTGCCGCTGCTCGAGGCGGCGCACACGCTGGGCGACGGGCGGCTCCTCGCGCAGTGCCGCCGCTTCGTGGCCGACCACGCCGCCGAGGTGCGGGCGAGCGGCGGCGTGGAGCAGCTGCGCGACTTTGGCGTGGCCAAGGGGCTGCTCGGCGACGCGCTCGACCAGGTGGCGGAGCTCAAGGGGGCGGTGGCGGCGCGCGACGCGGAGCTCGAGAAGGTCCGGGCATGAGCGAGGGGCAGCGCCTCACGCGCCACGCCCTGCTCGCTCGCCGTTTGGTCGAGCTTGGCACAGTGAGAGCAGTGTGCACGACACTCAGCGCAGCGCGCGCCGTGTACAGGGAGCGCGATCCTCCGACACCGTTGATGTCCCGGGTACGTATAAGTACGTCAGTATTCTCGCATTTTCTCCTTTCCTCACTGCAGGTTTTTGGCATCACAAACCGCGACACAAATCCGTACTGGCTCGAGGTGGCGAGCAGGGCCTCCCTCTCACGCCCAACTCAAGTACTCTGCGCCGACGTTGGTCGCCTGCAGCGGCACATCCAGCACGCCAAACTCGCCCGCCTCGATACAGATGCTCAACCCGAACCCGAGCGACGTGATCGCCAGCGACGGCGGCAGCTGCTGCGAGTTGTCCACCGCCGGCAGCCGCGCCGTTGGCGGCGTGGAGCGGAGTCCGAGCCACAGCGGGCTCGCCTGTTCATGGGACGTGTCGTGGACGCGTCATGGGCGTGTGCTAGGTGCCAACTGCTCGGAGTACAACGCTGAGAACAAAGACCTGTGCTCCCCATCTAGGCCTCCAGATCTGGGGAGGTATGGGGAGATATGGGGAGAAGTTGTTCCGCATCTGGCTGCACTCGCCCGCAGCGTGAGCGGCGCGGAGAGGATGGAGAAGTCGATCTCCTGCGTCGTTGTGACCCAACCGATTAGGAATACATCACTCAATGAGGTAGAGAAGGCAGATCTCCGGCGTCGCCGTGACCGCCACTGAGGTAGAGAAGAACCAATTCCCATTAGGATGACGACCCTGCGTCATCATCGTGAGCTATGGGGAGATATGGGGAGATCGATGTGTGACGAACCTGCGTCATCATCGTGACCCAGTGCGGCGTCGCGCGACGGCCGCTCTCGTCTGGCGGCCCGACACCCCTCTAACGATGGAACCGAATCTTGAAGTCTCATGCACAGGGCCGCTCTCAGGGCCGCTCTCGTCTGGCGGCCCGACACCCCACCTCGAGCCGCGCCCCTCGCGACGTCGCCCTGAAGTCGCGCGGCGCTCGCATGGCCGCGTGCGCGTGCTCAGCCCCCCCCGGCCGCAGGTCGATTCCGCATGGTACGGGACCCCTCGATCGTCTCCAGGAATGTGGCGGTGTCTTTTGAGTCCGGCGCCGCCCGTTCGACTCTTGCTGTCGCCCTCGCCGTGTGTTTGTCAAGCTTCCGCATGAAGTAACGCGCCTCTTCCTTACTTATTTCCAGCGCAGCTGCCGCTCAGTATGTGCGCCAACGTGCAATGACGCCTGTCTGTGGTGGCTCACTGTCTTCTTGTTTCCAGTCGTCCCAGTCTCTCCGTTCTCCTATTCTCCTCCTTGCCTCGCGCGCCTCTTTTGTGGCCTCATCCCTACAGCCGCCTTTCAGAGAGAGAGAGAGAGGATATTTGTTTGTGTGTCCTTTCAGTCGATTTCAATTTCTTGCACGCAGATAAGAGAACTTGGAGCACTTGGAGCACTTGGAGTGCAGTCATTAGCCTCACATCCAGGGCCGGGGAGCTGAGGAGCGCACCCAGCGGGCCGGATGATCGGGATCGGGCTAGATTCACATGAGGACTTTTTTCGAACACCTCATCCTTGACCTCAAAGCCCGAGCGGGCGCGGGGGCGGGCGCGTCATGTTGATCCCGGCCATCCTCAAGAACAGCACGACTGGGTACAAGAACGTGACGTACAACCGCAGCAGAGAGAAGTTCGTGGCGCAGGCGCAGGACGACGGCAGGCGCGTCCACCTCGGCTACTTCGAAACCGCCGAAGAGGCGGCCGTCGCCTACGCTCGCTCAAAGTACGGCCGCGCCGACGCCGCCAAGCAGCTGCAGCCCCGCGCTGCTCCCACTGCCGATGGCCTCGAGGCCATACGGCAGGCGGAGAGGGAGGGCCTCACCCTGGTCACCAGCGGCAGCACCAGCGGATACAAAGGCGTCTGCTACCGCCCGAAGGAGCGAGGCACCAAGAAGTACAAGCTGGAGGTGACGGCTGAAGGCAAGAGTCTCTACCTCGGCTGGTTCGCCACCGCCGAGCAGGCGGCGCTCTTCTACGCCCGCAGGGAGGCGGGCAGGGACACCAGCGATCTCACCTCGCCGCCGCCGCCGCCGCCCACCTCTGCCGCCGAGGCAGTCCGGCAGGCAAAGAGGGAGGGCCTGACTCTGACTAAGAGCAGCGGCAGCAACAGCGGCTACAGGGGCGTGACCTTCAAGCCGAAGGAGCGAAGCAGCAAGAAGTACGAGCTGAGGGTGGGGTCTGGAGGCAAGCAGAACTTTCTCGGCCTCTTCGCCACCGCCGAGGAGGCGGCGCTGGCGCGCGCGCGGCACCTCCGGGACACGGCCGTCCGCCTGCTCGAGCCGCCGCCGCAGCAAGCACCGCCGCAAGGCGCAGCAGGGCCTTCCGAGGCCAGCAGCTACGAGGAGGCGGAGGACGGCTTTGACCCGGCGGACATTGCCGCTGCCGTCTCTCTCGCTGCTCTCCGACCCGCCGCCTTCCGCGAGCGAGCAGAGGGCGGCGAGGCGGCAGGCTCGCGCAGCGGAGCAGGCGGCGGCGGCGTTGGCTGAAGCGGCGGCGGGTGCTGCTTCGCCATGGGACGACGAGGCGGAGGAGGAGGCAGAGGTGCAGGGGAGCGATAGCGGGTTGCGGGGGATGGAGGTTGAGGCCGGCGCCGCAGGAAGGGTGGCGGCGGAGGTGCAGCGTAGTGACACTACTCTAGAGGTGCGAGGCAGCGACCCATTCCCGACGTTTTGGTAATTCTACGTCAGTAGACAGCAGCCAGGTCAAGTTCGGATCTCGGCGGGATCCCGCGCGGTCCCCCGCCGCCGCGCCCGGCCGCGAGGGGAAAGCCGACCGACGGACCGAGCCGCCCCCCCGCGAGCCCACTGAGCACTGCGGTTGTCCTGAGCCCGGACGGAGGCTCTGAGCCGAGCCGGGGCAGCTTAGGGCGCACTTTGGCGGAGTGTGCAGTTAGTAACCTCACATCCAGGGCCGGGGGGAGAGCTTAACTAAGAAGCGCACAAGCGGGCCGGATGATCGGCATCGGGCTACGGGCTAGAGAGCCCTGACCCCTAAGGGGGGGTGCGCGTTCGCAGGGAAAGGGCCGTAAAATAAACACGAGTCTCCGAGGGTTGGTTCTGCGCTTTGGTTGGGTGTCCCCTAGCGGCGGAACGCCCCCTCTACTCGGAGCTAGTAAACACCAGACACGAGCATGACGTATACTCTCACCCGACATCGCCACTCAGGGCCCCTCCGCCCGATCTCCCCACCCCCCCATCCGAAAGGGCTCCCCTCTCCTCCCGGTCCTCCCTCCTGTTCGCTTTCCGATGGTCAGGCTGCGGAGCCCGCCTTCCCCTCTTATACTTCTTCGACCGCGGCTTCGCCGCCGTCTCGCCTTCTCTGTCTGATCCCGTTGACTCCGCGGGTGGCGATCCCGTGTCCGACTCCCCGGGCGAGGGCGGCGACGTTGGGTTATATCGCCTCCCCTCCCCGGGGGGTCGGACCGGCTTTCCCTGGTCGACGAATCGCGCTCGCATCCGCGGCCTCTCTATCGTCTTTCGGCTCGCCCCTCTGTGTGTGTGTGTGTGTGTGTGTGTGTGTGTGTGTGTGTGTGTGTGTGTGTGTGTGTGTGCATCCTCCGCCGGTTCCTCCCGTCGCCTCTTCTTTGTTCGAATGTTTTTCAATCCATCCTTCACGAAGCCCTCCCATGTAGCTAGCGTTCTTGGCGAATGTCTCGAAATGGCCAGCAGGCGCTGTCTGCTCGCGGTCTGTGCGGGCCGCTCGTCCTCCCCGCCCTTCTTTCGTCCTCCCGTCCCTCCCCTCCACCATGGCCTTCTCGGCACTTCTTTCTCCATCCGCCTCGCCCTGCCTTTTCGTATCGTGCCGTTCGCCCTCCATTCGGTGACCTCCATGGCTGTCCGCCCCCCTTTGGGTGGCGCTCTCGATACGGTTGCGTCAACCTCGACGTCGCTGTCGCCCTCCCCGTCCCCACCGGCGTCCGTGCCTCGGTTCGCGTCATCGGTAGCGTCTCCGTTGTTCCCTCGTGCCCCGCCGTCGCCCTCTCTGCTCGGGCCGTTAGCGATTTCGCCCCTCCTGCGTGTCGCCCCTCCGTCCCCTCCCCTTTCTTCGTCGTCATCGTCGCTGTCGCGAAAGCCCTCCGGTCCCTCGATTCCCTCGCCTATCCCCTCCGCTGCGTCGTCCCAGTTTATATCCTCATCCTCTGCGCACGTCGCGTTGGCTTCCTCTCTCCCCCTTTCCTCCCTGCCCCTCTCGCTGTCTGGTGTTAATGGACCCCCTTCCTCTCCCTCGCCACCGTCACCGTCACCATCCCCGTCGCTCCCGCCCTCCATCCCCGCCGCCCTTTGTCTCACACTCGTCTCTGCCATGTCCGCCGTCGCCGCCGTCCTGTCTGCTGCGCTCTGTGCTCGTCTAACGCCTCCTGCTAGCTGGGGCACGCTCCCACGCGGCTGGGGGCCGCTCTCCAGCTCGATTAGGGCGTTTTTCGCGCGATTTTACGGAATTACGGATTGGAGGGGGGTGGCGGCACATAGGGGGAGGGCCACGGAGGGGGAGACGCGCATCTACGAATCAAGTTATTGGCACCGGAAGCGCTCGCGCCTCGCCGCCGGTCTGCGCCGGTCAGGCTCTTTATGATCGTATCAATGATAGACCGCTCCACGCTCGCTGACGCTGTCACACCTTTAGCGTTAAGGACAACCTGCCATCGGACATGCAAGTACGCACTAACCAGTACAACGACCGTAGAGTACGAGTAAGTCTACCTCCAACAGTGAGACGAGACTCGGCCCAACGCCTCACCACGTATGTCTCAACTGGCTCCCCACGCCGCCGCCCACCCCTTGCCCGGCGCCTTGGCTCCCTAGCACGCGCGCCTCCAGCAGCTCGAGGCGCTGCTCCCAGCCTGCCGCGCGCTGGTCGGCGGTCTGCTGCGGCCCGTGGTAGAAGCGCTCGTAGTCGATGTCTTTTGGCTCCCACTCGCAGCTGTCCCAGTCCCAACCGATGCCCGAGCGTCCAAAGAGGCGTTCGGCAAAGAGCGCAATGTAGCGCGTGTCCCACTGGCCCTGCCTTCCGAGCGGACTCTCGAGGTGATTGGAGGGCGGGAAGAAGAACCAGCCCGGCAGCTCTGGCGCGCAGGCGCACGGGAAGAGGAAGCAGCCATACCGCAGCACAAAGAGGGACGTCCACGCGAGGCTCGTCCCAAACTGCGCCCAGAAGAGGCACGGGCCGCCGTGGGGGAAGCAGATCGGCCAGCCGTCGAGGCAGTACGGATACGTCTGCCAGATGACCGCAAAGTAGATGTTGGAGACGGGCACCACCTAGGGAGTGTCTCGAAAGTGTCTCGGCAGTGTCTCGGAAGTGTCTCCGTCGGTGCTGGAGGCGGGGACCACCCACGAGTACAGCGGCGTGTAGTAGACCTACACTCATGAATCCAGCACAGGCTAGGGCTAGGGCTAGGGCTAGGGTTAGGGTTAGGGTTGGGGTTAGGGTTAGGAAGGACCGACCGTGAATGATAAGGGCCACGAAAGCACCGAGAAGACAGCTGAGTCCACGCGTCTGTGTGTCCCGCATCTAGGGCCGTAGGCGTGGAACAGGATCATCAGGGCGAAAGTCCACAGCCCGATCCACCTAGGGAGGGTCTCGGAAGTGTCTCGGAAGGGCACTTCGCTGCCATGTAGTTGACCGATGGCACATTCCACGCAAGCTTGTCGGTCGTAGTCCATCGGCCGCCTCACCATGTGTGCGTGCTAGCCCTGCGGCGTGGAATGTGCTGGAGTCCCTCGCCCTGAGTGTGCTGCAGGGTGGGTGCCCCCCCCCCGCCCCCCCCCCCCCCGCCCGATGTCTACTCACACACCAGAACAGGATGTAGCGGTACGTCCGCCGCACGACTTTGACGCGAGGCCCGTCCACATACCTAGTCGAGATGTGGCCGAGATGTGGCCGAGATGTGGCGAGATGCACGCCGGCGGCAACATAAGCCCGTCCACACGCACTTTGTCGTCGCGAGGTACGTCGTCGGGTCGAGGCACGCCGCGCCGGCAATGAAGCCCATCCCGCGGCTGTCGGTCGCTTGGAGGAAGCCGAAGATGGCAAAGATGATTCCGAAGTCGGAGAGGGCGTTGCCTAGTACCACACCTCTGGAGGATCGAACCCAATGTGGGTGCAGGTCCGTGGGTGGTGCGGGATCAGTCGGAGGGGGCGTTGCCGGTGCTCTCGGCCGAGATGAGGATGGCGGTGACCAGCGCAAAGTACGAGATGACGACGACGGACAGCAGCTCGGTCAGGATGCCTAACCTCGGGTACTCTCGGGTACTCTCGGGTACTCTCGGGTACTCTCGGGTACTCTCGGGTACTCTCGGGTACTCTCGGGTACTCTCGGGTACTCTCGGGTACTCTCGGGTACTCTCGGGCAGCAGCTCGGTCAGGATGCCCCAAAAGACGACGGTGCAGTAGGCGTAGGTCTGGCCCTCGTACCGGCTCGCGAGCGAGCGCAGCAGGATGCGCAGGTCGGGCCCCTGCACGAGCGAGCTGACCTAACCTCGGCTAATCTCGGGTAATCTCGGGTCACCTCGCGCAACCTCGCGCCCCTGCACGAGCGAGCTCTGACCGGCTCGCTGTTGATCGCGTCGCCGATCGCCAGCGGGATCACGATGAGCTTGCCGACGATCCAGATGAAGCGCGGCAGGAACGGCTCGTCGAGGTACCACCACTCGACCCAGGTGAGGGTGTGGGGCACCTCCGCCAAAAAGTTCTCCACCATCATGCACTCGAGGAGGAGGATCTCGAAGGCCACGAGGATGAGGCAAAAGATGACGGCGACCCACTGCAGCACCTGCGCGCCAAGACATCGCCGAGACATCGCCGAGATACCGCCGAGAGTCCGCCGAGATGTGGCCGAGATGTGGCCAGTCCCACGTCCCACGTCGGGGGCGCGCATGCACGCGGGGCGTGGGCACTACACACAGAGGCGGCGGAGGCGGCGGCTGAGGCGGCGGCGGCTGAGGCGGCGGCGGCGGCGGCGGTGGCGACGGTGGCGGCGGCGGTGATGGCGGCGGTGGGGAATGGCGGCGGCGGTGGCGGCGACGCCTGCGCGCCGAGCAGGAAGTACCAGCACTGCTGCGTGCACGGCCACGAGCAGCGGCAGCCGAGCCAGGGGGCGAAGAAGGTGGCCTCCTCGGCCTGCGGCACGCCCGCCTGCGGCAGGCGGGGGGGCGCCCTTCTTCACTGAGGCAAGATGGAGCGGAGCGAAGGGAGGGAGGGCGGAGCGGAGTGGAGAGAGAGGAGCGGAGCGGAGTGGAGAGAGAGGAGCGGACCGGAGTGGAGCGGAGGAGAGGAGTGGAGCGGAGGAGAGGAGTGGAGTGGAGCGGAGGAGAGGAGTGGAGTGGAGCGGAGGAGAGGAGTGGAGCGCCGCCTGCGGCACGCTAAAGACGTTGACCGGCTTCGGCTCGTTGTCGCCGAGAGAGCCGTCGTCCTGCGGCACGGCCTGGTACTGCACCTGGACCGACTGCCGGTACCCGAAGTCCTTGAGGTATGCGGAGATGGAGACCCACATCGCCCACATGAAGACGTTCTTCTGCTCCTTGATCTCATAGCCGAGCTTCCCCAGCGCCGAGTCCTTGCCCTTTGCTTCGAGCTCGGCCACAAGACCCGTCGCCTCCTCGTTGAGAATCGCACAGGGCAAGATCTGGTTCGGCAGCGGCAGGTCGTATGGGTGAAATTCCATGGGCCCGGTGATCATGAGCACCTTTGGCTCGGCGGCAAACCTCGCCTGCCGAACGCTGGACTCTCGCTCGAGGACCAAGTGGCTGCACCCAGCGCAGCGGCACCCCGGCCTCGGCGGTGCAGCACGACGGCGCAGGCCACGGCCTCTTCGAATAGGCCCGGCGATCGCTGCGGCCGTGTTGGTCAGCGCGGGGCAAAAGAATTTTACAAGTTAGCGCTCCCACGACACGATTCACGCGATAGCGCACCACACACCTCTCCTTAAAATCCCTGTGTGGTGGCGGCGTGCCGTCCTCCCATCCCTCCCTTGGGTTGTCTGTTTTCTTTCTTTCTTTCTTTACGATTCACGCGACAGGCGAGGCGCGGGCGACGGCTTCCTCACATCCTCAGAAGCCGTCGCCCGCACCACAGGAGCAGTCACACCAAGAAATTGCGGCGCCAACAGGAAGCTCGATTTTTTTGTTTTCCTTTCCTTTTCGTTTTGCCTTTCCGAGAGAGAGAGATTTTGTTTTGAGAGCGCCTTCGTTGTTAATAGTACAAACCCAACGGTCCTCTGTTTTGTTTGCCTTTCCGTGCCGATGTGTGTCCTCCTCGAGCCTGGCTGTTCTTCGCCTTTCTATCTACTCTGTGAGTGCGGCCACGCCTTGTCGTGCCAGTATTATAGAAAGAACAACATGAACATCCAACCCCCAAATCCAAACATAGAATTTTGGATTTTGCTGCCACGCATTCTTTCTGCTGGCGAGGTGCTTCCAGCCTGCTGTGGGAACAGCTGACGCAGTCTCGAGGCATTCTGGGGAATGCTTCTCTGCCGCCGCAGCGGGCGCTGCCGCCGCCGGCGCGCCGCCCAATGCCGCCGACCCTGCCGCCACCGCCGCCGCGCTCGACGCCACGGACGAGTCGAGCGGCTTGCCCAGCGCCACCGCCCCTGCGGCCGCAGCGGGCGGCGCACCTCCGGCGGCAGCGCCCGCTGCGGCGGCAGGGGCGGCGGCGTTGGGCGAGCTGCTCTGCACAATGCCATCGGCATTGCCCGCTGCGGCGGCAGGGGCGGCGGCGCTGGGCGGCGTGCCGCCGGCGGCAACGCCCGCTGCGGCGGCCTCGGCCGACTGTGCGTGGGACGTCGCTGGCGAACGAGCGTTTGCCACGCCGGAGCGACTCGCATGCACAATGTGAAAGATGCGGCCCGAGATCTCGGCTTCTGGGATACCAATCCAACCGTACCTTGTGGACCAGTTTCCCGCTTTATAAGCCGACTCTTGGAAGTTTGCCTTGAGTTGCTGCCTGCATCCGCTGCTGGCGGCGCCGCAGACAGCTCGCCAGTTTGCGTCGGCACTGCAGGAAAAGTTGATCTCTATGAGCGAGTGCCGATCGCACTGGTTGCCTGGTTTGCAAAAACGGCAGGTTGCGCGTCCTTCCAAGTAGTTGACGCCGCACCTCGCACACTGAACAGCGCTGGCGGAGGCGACCGCTCGCCGCTGGAGCACCACTGTCTCTCTCTGTCTTGTCAACGTCATCCACCACAAGCAACTCAGAGGGCTGCACGATGTATCGCGCAACGAGCCGACGCGCCCGGCTGTGGTAAAACGCAAAAGAAAGGGAAGCGGGGCCACGGACTGGAATTGTGCGATGGAGATGGAAGGCTACCGGGTACCACCGAAGCGAAAGAAAATTCCTTGTGATCTGACCCTTTGTCGGCGCGAGCGTATATGCTCGGAGAGGCAAAGTATGCTGTCGCTGCGTTGCAGCGCACACTTAAGCGCGATGCTGACATTTCACAGGCTTCTCTCGATTGCTTGCGACACAGACTCGACGCAGTGGCGCGTGCACGCGCGCATTTGCCCTCCGCATCGGACAGCGGTGGCGGCGGCTCGCATTGCGCACATGAAGAGGATGATTGGAGCGGCAACGCTGGCAGCGAGCACGCTGGCAGCCCAAAGGACACCGCCCATCCGAGAGATTGGAGCACACTGCCCATCCGAGAGATCAGGAACTGGCATCCAGTGATTGACGAGGTTGACGGAGAGCTGCGGGCGTGCGTCCAAGGAGACTGCGACGGTGTTCTCTGGCGCAGCGGGCCAATCATCTCGCGGGCAGACGACAACCGGCTCGTGTGCGAGAAGGGTGGTGGGAGAGAGGTTTACATCCTAGTTGGCAGCCTCAATTTCGGTGCACGCCAACGGCTCGCCTTCCTCAGTCACACCGCTTTATCTCACTTCAGCGATGGCTTTCCCAGCAACTGGAAAGAGCGTCTAATTGTGGGAAACGTCAACCACCGGCGACCAATACTCTTTCCAGACGGCGAGTCGACCATCTGTCGTGAAGACATAGACGAGCTCGATCACCATCCAAGGGCAAACATACCCGGCGCCGCAGCTGGCCCCGCCCTGGACCTCCTCCAGCGCGTCCAGGTTGTGCCGTACTCCGTCCTAGGGGAGCAGCTCGTGCGCGGCGAGGGCGTCGTGGACCGGGCTGGCCCTCCCGACGCCGGCGTTGTGTTTTGCGACCCGGCCGGGCTGCCCTTCATCCAGCGCACCGGCCCTGGCGGCGCGGGCGGCGCGTCGGGAGCCATCTACGACTTTCTCGGCATCCGCGACGACGACGCCTTCCCGGAGCCGGTGCGCGAGGCTGTGACGGCGGTCGGCCTCGCAAAGCACCACGCGTACCCACAGGAGGAGGGAGGACCCCTCCACTGCATCCACACCGTCGGTCCGAACTTCAACTGCCGGTGCGCCGCCCCTCCCGCCGTCTCGCCGCGCCGCCGGCCGCGCGGGCCGCGCCTCACCGGCCGCGCGCCGCCCGGCCGCCGCCTCGTCCAGGCGCGATGACGGCAGCCAGCACTCTCGCGAGGAGGCGCAGAAGGAGCTCGCCGCGGCGTACAAGAACGTGCTCTGCGAGTTCCACGCGGCGGCGAGCGGCGAGGGCGGCCCGACACAGCTGAGGCTGCTGCCCATCTCCGGCGGCATCTTTGCCGGCCCCTTTGCCGACGAGATTGCGCCGCTGACGATGGACGCGCTCGGCGCGGCGGCGGCGGAGCTGCCTCGAGAGGTGCCTCCAGAGGCGGGGAACACGAGGAGGGAGCTCCGCGCTAAACCCCCCCCTTCCCGCACAGGTGAGCGCCCATATCCTCGCGCCTGCCAGCCCGCCGCTGCTCCTCTGCGTCTTTCTGCGCGACGAGCTCGACGCCTTCGAGCGGGCGCACAGGATCGCCACGGGCGAGGAGGCGCCGCTGCCCGACGCGTCCGCATCCACCGAAGCGCCCGCCGAAGCGGCTGCTGAAGCGCCCGCCGAAGCGGCTGCTGAAGCGCCCGCCGAGGCGCCTGCCGAGGCGCCCGCCGAGGCGCCCGCCGACGCCGCACCGCCCGATGCCGACGCCGACGCCGCACCGCCCGACGCTGCACCGCCCGATGCCGCTGATGACGACAGTGAGGACCCGTTTGGCTTACATGAATTGTTCGCCGAGCAATCGCCCGCAGCTGCGCCAGCGCCCGCCGCCGCTCCCGCCCCCGCGGCTCCCGCACCGGCCGCGGCCCCCGCACCGGCGGGCACCGAGGTTGACGATGTCACAGTGATTCCGGCGGCGGCGCCGGCTCCGCCTGCGGCGATCGAAATCGGCAGCCGCGCGCTCTACCGCAGCCAGGTGGTGACCGTGACGGGAATCCACTGGGACGACGAAGGGGACTACTACACCGTCAAGCTCCCGTCGGGCGAGCTGCGCGACGTCGACGGGCCGCTGCACCCGCTTCTCCCCCACCCCGCAGCCCCTGCACCCGCGGTGGGAGCGCAGCAACCGGCGCAGCAGCCGCCGCAGCAGCCGCCGCAGCAGCCGCCGGTCGGGGTGGCCCCGTTGCCCTGGCCACCTCCGCCCCCGCCACCTCCGCCCATGCAACCGCCAACCCGCCGGCGGCCATTTAGCAGCCAGCTTCCGAGTGTGGCTAGGCTGGGGATCTTTGCCTCAAGGGGTCCAGCCCGCCTCTCAATAGAAGGAGGAGCAGCTGTATCTGGTCCTGCATTGCGCCCGCGGTGCTGCAGCTTTTGCCACATCTCGGATGGGCAGGTGCTGGCTTGCTCCAAAGATGGCTGCAAGAAGGGTGTTCACCAGGAATGTTACCACACAGCCATGAGCAAGCCACCCTGCCCGCTCCCCAACCCCTCTGCCAAAAAAGCCCGAAGAAGTGCTCCTCTCTGTGCTACACACCTCGATCAGTTGGTGCCACAAGTGTACTAAGGTTTCTATATATGCAAGAGAGTATTCTAAGGCTCAAGTCTCACACATCCCTCGTCTTGTACCAAAAAGCAGGAAAGAGACCTAGTGTACGACTAAGAAACAAACACACGAGCCTCTCTCCCAGTCCCTCAGGCCTTCTGGCATCCCTTTGCGGTGCGCATTCTCAATCTGCTGCAGCGCGGGTTTGCAGTCGCATAGCACTAAGCACCGCCGCGCTTGCGCGTCGCTCGCGCTCGCCATTTTGCGTAAGTATGCGAGTATCGCGTACATCTCCGCGTCTATCGGCTCCCACATGTTCGGCAGCTTTCCTCCCCACATTCCCGCCCCAAACGCTATCCGTATCTCCCCTTCTTCACAGGGTCCGATTCCGTTGGGATCCTTTACCTGTGCGTCTCCCGGGACGCTCTTTCCGAATCGTGTCGGTCCTTCGAACACGCCGTACGCCACCCTAGGGTTCGGCACGTACTTTCCATCCTCCGCCCTTTTGTCTTCATGGTCCTTTCCTCCGTCCGTCGCCGCAAAGTGTGTGAACTGGTGTGAGACGTGCAGCGCGAGGCATGTCTGCGCTACTTTCACGTTCAAGGCTCGTCCCTTCCCCGACCGCAGCGGCTCGCTGTCTTTTCCCATCTTAATTCGCTTCCCGTTGCCGTCCGTCAGCTCTCCCCCCGTCTCAAATTCGTCGTATCGGAGCAGGAAGCGCGTTAGGGGGTCCTCCTGTAGCTCCCCTACTCTGATCGCGCTCGCCCCGTGTCCGTGCCCCACGAACAGCTCGTAGTCTTCTTTCTTCCAGTTTATGTGTCTCTGGGGCGCCCCCTCTGGGAACAACGTCTCATCCGCCCCGAGGCTCCCCTCCTGTCGCTCCCTCTCCTGTCTCTCCATCATCTTTCTCACCGCGTCCTTCGTGATCTTATTTTGCTCGGGTATCTCCTCCTCCCATGTCGCGTTGGTATCGAGGCCCGGGGTCCCCTCCAGCTTTATCACTCGATTGTCCCCGTCCTCTCTCGACCCCAGTTGCGTGCCGCTGTCTTGCGCCGGTTTCTTCCCCCCGAGGTAGAGCGTCCTGGCCTTCCCCTCCACTCGGATGTCCGTCCTGGTTCGCCCTTCTTCGAACGTGTGTTCTGTCATGTTGGGTGCGCTTGTGCACACCCCGTTAACCTCCCTGCTGTATTCAATGAATCGATCGAGCACGTCGCTCCACGACGGAGCATTACTCTCTCCATCGCACGTCTCTAGTGCTCTGTCCGCTTGCGCTGCCTCCGGCCCCGATCTACCTAGTCTTCTGCGGTGTTCTAGCCACTCTCGGAAGGACGCCGCTTGCCGTCTCGCGCCTTGCGCGTGCATTAGCTCCCGCTCCCATGTGTGGGGCATCTTATCGTGCCACACCCAGCTGTCGCTCTGCTCGCCTTCCCATTCGCAGAGGTACTCCCATCCGTGTTCGTCCTCCTCCGTGCCTCCCCCGTAGCAGGTCGGCGCCTTCCTTGCCGCCTTCACCTTCCGCACCCTATCGGGCGCCCTCCGTTCCGTCTTCTGTCCGTGTGCGCGCTCTTCTATGGCCGCCCACTTCCAGTATTGTCGCAGCTGCGCCCACTCTGGTCGCTCCAGCTGCTCCGCCAGCCTCTTGTATTCGCTATGTTCCGTCGTGTTGTCTTTGAGGCCATAGACTCGCTTCATTTGCGGCCACGTCAACACTTCCCCGGTGCCCCATTCTGACACGTCCGACCATGTCGCTATCCCGTGCTTGGCTAGGTTACGTGCAAAGTCACACGCGAGGCCTTGGTTATTCCAGCCATGACTCCTTGTCTCAAAGAGGAGCGGGCCCAGTACTCTCTTTCGGCTCTCGGTCGTTCTCCACGCCTCGGGTCTGAGCGGCCCCTTCGTGCTCTCTTCCCACCCCGCTGTCGTGACCGTCTCCACCCCACACCTCCATTTTGCCTTTAGATATGCTTCGATCATTAGTTCGTCCGAGAGCTCCCTTTCCCAGTCCCAGCTCGGCTTCCACTCCAGCGGGTTGTCACTTCGGCATCCCAGCCTCCTCAACGTGTGCGCTAGGCTGCTCTCCACGGCCACCCTCGCTGGTTCCCCTTCCACCGCGCTGAGGGCCCGGTCCACTTGATCGATCAGCGCCGCCGCTGCGTACGTGTACGCGTGTTCCATTCCCATCCCTCCTCTCTCCTTCACATCGTAAATTTGTAGTCGCGGGATTCCTACCGAGTACCCTTTTGCGTTTAGGGCGCTCGCCCTCACTTGTTCGATGCTCTGGCAGT